TCATCTGGTGAAATGTTACGGTTTATAACAACTGCTCTATTTGAATGTTTTAAAATGTAGTTTATTTCTAGGATCAAAGCTCCAGTCTTCAGTGTCACATGATCCTTCAGAAATCATTATGCTGATTTACTGCTTTATTATCAGTTATTATTGGTGCTCAATTATTAATAACGAGTAGGGCTGGGTATCGATTCAGATGTCCCGATTCGATTCTCAAATTTTTTTTATTACATTCAGTGAAACTAGTTTAAATACAAATGCTATTGATATTTCTAAAAAATGAACAGTAAACATCAGTTTACAAATGGTGAATTAATAAAAAGAAATTAAGCCACATACCTGTATTTTAAACCTATATTTTTGTTTGTATAGGGTCCTTTTTTTTAAAACGATAATAGGGCCCTATAAAATGTTCTTAATTTTTCTGGTAATTGGATGAAGGCATGGCACATTAATTTAATTTATCCTAATCAAATGAAAATTAAACCCTTTTATTTTTTGGCAAACAAAGTGCTGCACAACAGAGATTTACAGTTAAAATGAAAAAGAAAACAGATGTGATTATTCCTTTAAAAATAAAGATTTATTAGCAGTAGTAGCATTGATTCTTAAGACTGCTAAATAGTAATATATTCTGACTGTAGAACGTTAAACTAAACTTTTATTTTGACGGGTTGCCGTGCAGAACTTGCAGCTGCTGTGTATGTGATATGACGGTAGTTTTCTCAAATGAAACGCTAAATGCTAATGAAGTGAGTCTCAGAGCAGTTGGAGATGACATTCGTGTTCATATCATCATATAGTGAGACGGCAGAAGCTGAAAACACTGCGAGCGTCATCCGCGCTTTAGTATGTGTGTAGTAAACAAAACAGTGTGCGGCATTCATTCATTGCGGAAATCATGACGCCTTATGCGTGATATCAAATGCTTCCACAGATTTATAGTATTACTAAAGCATTTCACCTGAGCATTGCGAATCACGCGTATGGCCATGATAAGTGCTGAATGAATGACAGGATTTCTGTTGTAACATCGCGCAAGGTAAATAAGGGTGACATCTAAGTTAGTGGAGAAGACTAATGATAAGATTCACGTTAATAAGATCTTTTTTTAAATGTGTGCTGAAATAAATCCCGGAAAAGATCGATTAACGGCTTTTGAGAATCGATATCGAATCGACAACATTTTTAAAAAACGATTAATCGAAAAATCTTTTTTTTTTGTTGCCCAGCCCTAATAACGAGTGTTTGGAACATG